TGTTTTCGAGAAGGGACTTGGTACATGAGATAATTAGTTTAAAGAGTAAATTATTGATGAATATGTGTGCTTAAAATATTTAAATGATACGTTTAAATATATTTTTGAGTTTAAACGTATTTAAAAACTAAACATTGTAATTGAATATAATGTCTTCAAAAATAGGAAGAATAAAAATTTATGTGTACAATAACAAAAATGAGAAATTAAACATTTTTGCTTCTTTTGTAGACAACGTACATTGGTCGTGCAACATCGACACATGTATTTATGCAAAAAAATAAAATAAAAATAACTACACATAAGTAAATGCAAGAATTTGAATTTTAAATAATCCAAGTAATGGAATAAGGTTTGTTATCTTACTTTATTATGGGTTTTTTGAATTAGATGGATAATATACATCATAGATTTGAGATAATGCTGAATGTCTCTTTTTAAGTTTAATTAATTAGCTAAACAAAATTTTTTTGTATAACTTAACTGACAGCTTAATCCAAGCAATTGAATGGGTCCTCTACCAATCTATTTGGATTTGTTTTGTATTAGATGGATAATATGCACTTTAATATTGACGTAATGATGAAGCAGTTGATTTAAGTTTAATCGGGTAAATAATTTAATTGGATGCAGAAATTTTACTTTAAACTTATTTAGAGTGCAAAAAACAAGCATACGTTAACCCCCTCTAATGCCATAAAGATTGATTATTGTGTTTTTTTTTCCCCCATCATGCACAATTAGGTAAGAAGCACACGATTCCTTTTTTCATCATGAACGTACTGAGTTTCATTGCTAGCTTACTTAATCGGTTATATAAAATTTGTTATAAACCTTTTTAGAGTGGGAGAGAAGTGGGAAACCGTTAATTCATGCCCCGGTCTAATCAAATTAAGCCCCAAGGAATAATTCAAATAATAAAATATCTTATCAAATCCTATTATCTTTAAAACATAAATTGTTTAAACTATTATAACCCTATCAAACTTTGTTAAGAAACTACGTGTTTTGCTTTTGTAAGAAGTTATAGGAGGAGATCTCAAAAGAAGAAAAGAAATGGGATTAAAAAGGCTCGCACATTAAGCAATAATAACATGTAGTGCACTGCTTATCCTAACAAACTTTGTTTAAAAAAAATTTAAAATGGCACTGACTTTAGATAAACATGTGTTACGAATTTGGTGTGCCAACTTATGGTCTATCTGGTTTAACAGTAATGAAAATAGATTAAATATTTTGGCCATATAATGTCATTCCTTTGCCACATTAGAGTCTATTGTAAAATTATCATAATACTAAAAAACTTTATTGTTAAGAAAATTATCAAAAACTATCAAAAGTAGAAAATATAATTTATGATTTTGTTTTTTGCAACAACCGAATTCAGTCAGATGACTGTCATCGGAATGGTACCATTTATTGGGTAACAAATTTAACTTAATATTAATTTCTTTTTTGAGAAGATATGATACCTCTTGAAGCAATAATCTTAACAAAATATACCAACAAACTGATTAGCATTCAGTCTATTTAGTTACATTATGTAGATTTAAAAAGTAAATATTTAAACTATCATAATCATAACAAACTTGGTTTTTTAAAAACTAAAGTAGCACCAACTTGAGATAAGCATACAACATAAATTTTACCCAAACTGAGATTCCATTGCATTTGACATCGGAGGAGATTACATTTCGTTTATAAGGGTGATATAGATTAGTGACAAACGATGTATATATATCATTTGGTCGTAAATCAGGAAGGTTTTTCATCAATATTGCGATAATGATTAACGCATCTGGACATCAAAAATCAAAATGTTTGTCCCACCAAATGCGCTACGTGTTTTTCAAAAAAAAAATGCCAATATAAGATTGCTAATCGGATTAAAATATATCTAATCTATATCTATTTCTTGTAAAAAAGGATAATAATTTAACTATATATTTTCTGTTATTGTTTAAAAAATTCGGTAAATGTACACAGGTAAAATTTAATAATAACTCGAAGGATAGGATTTCAAAGAATGATATGACATTAAATACAATAAATTTAATAATAAAAATTCTCCAATTTTAGGCCCCAATCATGAAATCACACACGGTATTAGTAGCATAACTATAATATATACACAAGAACACCCCCCAAAAACAGAAACAAAGAAGCCTTCTGCTGAAGACAACAATAAGCATACATTATTACCAAAGTAATTACTACATTCAACACTCACAGAATCTTCTCATCGCTTCTGGCTAGCTTGAGCTTTGACAATGCTGATAATGTCTATTCAATCTCCTTAACAACCTCTTTCATGGAAGGCTTGTCTTGTCTACGGTGCTCCAAAGCATCCCAATGCCAGAAATCCCAATGCCTTCATCATATCCAACTCCCAGAAATCCCAACGCCTTCATCATATCCAACTCCAAGTCACTCGCTCCATTTTTCAAAATTGGATCAACCGCATCCATTATCCCCTCTTCCTCCACCAATCTCTGCACATACGCTAGATTCACCTCATCTTCCTCCCTATTGAAATCTATCACTCTCTGATACTCAACAGCTCCAAAAGCACCACCCCAAAATTTTTTTTGAAATTAAATATCTGAAACCAAAAATACTGTTTAAAACAAACCAATCAATTGAAAAAAAAAATTAACTGAAAAAAACATACCAAACCCTTTCGAATACCTGATACTCATGTTCTTCCTGCATCGCACAAAAGAAAAGTATAAATAAGCATCAATAATTTTGAACCGATCAACTCAATGCTAAAAAAATTAAAGAAACGGGAAAATTCGTTAAAAAAAATGTTTACCAGCGAAAGAGTGTGCGATTATGAACACCAATTGAATGTATAATGTGTACTTATAATAGGATAAGGAGTATCTTAACAAACAAACCAAATTTTTGATTTTTAAAAAAATTAAAAACACTATAAATTATCAATAAAATAAGATAAACTATAAGTTTGTCACTAAAACTAAAAAAACATCACTTGAATACGTTAAATATGATTTTTCAAATGCATTCAGCAGATTTCTTTTAATTGGAGTTGTAGTCGTTGAGTTACAATTAAATTCCCGTTAATCTTATCTTGTATAAAAAAATATCCTAGCAAACTAAAAAATCGTAATTTTTTTAAAAAAATTCCAATCGGATAATAAATTCCAACAATATTGTGTTTAAGATAAATTAGGTTGAAATAAAAAAGATAAACTAATAAATTACACAAAAAAAATTATTACAATTGAGCTGCTTTTTACAAATCTTGAAAATCGCTTAACACGATCGCGTAGTTTAACCCTAATCTCTCCTCTATGAATACTAGTGATGTCTGGTCGCGCATTGCGCGACCATGGCCCAGTATATATGTAGATTTTAGAAATGTTTATATTTGAAAAAAAATATTTTGTATTTGGCCCGATATATTTTAGAAATGTTTGAAGAATTTAGAAATGTTTTATAAGTATGATCATAAAAATATTTTATTTGGTAAAAAAAAATTGTATTTAGCCCGGTACGTTTTAGAAATATTTGAAGATTTTAGAAATGTTTTATAAGTGTTACTTATTAAATATAAATACACTTGATCAAATATATGTCTTGAAGTAAATGTTAGACAAAATATAAAAGCATCCTAATAAGTTTAAATATTAGTAAGATGATTTATTTATGTTCTCCGTTTGTCATGCCGAATAAATACTTAATTTTGGAGATTTATAATAATTTTGTAGTAAGCTTCCTCCGAAAGGTATACGTTTAATTGTTGGAACTGTTTCTTCCAAAGATTTATATGTAGTAAAATATCAAAAATATGATTTTGAAACTGATTAATTGTTGAAACTGGTTGATCATAAATATGAGAATGAAAATTAATGTAAATTTGCATAGGTTTCAAGTTATAGCAAAAAAGAACTCACCTCACCATGGCAAATAAAAAAAATAAAAGTAAGTAAAAGAGCCATTAAAAATTGAGAAATTATTTTTTTCCCTGTAGGTAAAAATGATGTATAAAAACACAAATAAACGTAGAAACATCATTCTTTCCCTCTCCACCTCAAATTCTTCTTCTCCATAAATTAGTTAGAAGAAGCGACCTGAACTACTTATATGATGAGGAACTCAAAAAAGTCAAAAAACCAAATCCAAAAAACTATATTCTTGAAAGCCCGAACACACACAAAAAAAAAACAAAGCGCTTCATTCGCAAAAAAAATAAATAAATAAATAATAATAATAATAATAATTATAAGAATAATAATAATAATAATAATTGGGCAATTGGGAGTATGAAACAAAATAAAAAATAATTAAATAAAGAAAAAACACTATTCATAACAGACCATATACGGAAAAAACTGAGACTCCATAACTAAAAAAAAAAAAACCACTCTAATTGAATGAAACATAAAAAAGAAATTAAAAAAATCACACTTCGTAACAAAAACCCAATTGATCAATTCAATCCAAACAGAACTAAAATCATACAAAAATTCTAGGCTAACTAACCATATAAGAAATCACATCATATTACCTAGCAACAACTACGTTAACTGTAACGGGTGGACGCATAAAAATAATAGTAATAATACTATTCTTGAATGGCAAAAACAAAAAATAATAAAAGCCGTACAAATGATCTGTGGATATAAAATAATTTAAATTTTAATATCTGTAATGGTACCACCACAACGGCCGAAGCAAGATCAATGAGAAATTTTTTTTTTTCCTTTGTGTTTATATAGAGAGGTAAAGAAAATATTTTTTGAAGTCAAAATTTTATCCGATTAGGATGTAGTTGATCATCACTAATGAAAAGATTGAACATGCTAATAGAAAGGAGTATATTTCACCACTTATTCTCAATTAATGATTGATGAGGAATTTGTTTTATATATTTTTTTATTGTGGAGAAGGAATTTTAAAATATAATGTGAAAATGCCACATGATAAATGGTAGTGTTTTCTCTTAAGTGTAGTTTTTGTTTCTAATATAGTAAGATATATGATTGACCTTTCCCCTTCTTCCTTTTTTTTGGGTTGATTCGTAATAGTTTTTATGTTGGCTTGGATCGAAGAAAGGCGAGAGGATCATGACGACAACAGATCGATCGACCGGTGTTGAAGTTGGAGGCGATCATTTTGGTCATGATGATTATGATCTTGACATCTACGATATTATGGCCGATTATGCCGGATATCTTTCGTTTAATGAGTCTGATTTGGATGATGATTATGACCCGGTTAGTTTTCCTTTTTCTTTTTTTCTCCTCTTTTCTGTATGTTATGTGAAAGCCTATGCTCTTAGTTGGGCTTTAATGTTTGAGCAGAATTTTTTTGTGGTTTTTCTTTGGTTATAGACTGATAGTGGAATCCCTAAGGAAGAAGAAAAGGAATCCGCTTCTGCTCCTGTAACCCCAACGGAGGAGCCCAAGAAGATTACTGCTCTACAATCTTCGGCAGCAGAGAAGGTAAAACTATCTATTACTTTTTCTTCTTGGCACTAGGGTTCATTTTTAATTCAGGATTATCTAATTGAATCTAAGCCTGGAGTTTCAATTAAATTGAGCGTTTGTTATTATTATTATCAGTTTCTTGTCTTGATTTGATGTGTCTGTCTTGGTTGAACAGAAGGAGAAAAGCATGAATGATGATCTAAGTGGACCTGATGATGGATTGCCTTCCAATCCTAAGATTATATGTGCTGCTGATGATGAATGATGTTAGTTTCTTTTCCCCTTTGTTCTCTTTTGATAAAAATTTACTTGTCCGCTTTGATTGTGACTGCTTTACTGTAGCTTTTTGTGTTAAAACATTACTACCAACGCTTTGATTGTGACTTCTTTAGTGTAGCTTTTTGTGTTAAAACATTACTACCAAGCTTAATTTTTCTAAAATGCCTTTTGGTTTCGTTCCCCGTCTCCTTCTGATTGACACCCCTTTTTGTCTTTAAGGTTACCATGGATGAGCCTGTGGATCAAAGTTATCTTTCTTCTTGAAGATGTAGGAGAAGCAGAACGATCAGAAGACTTACTGATGTAGTAGCAACTTTGGGATGGCCTTATGGATCTTAACTTGTGCCTGTGAATGTATTAAGACTTTCAATTGGTACATATGTCTACTTTGTTTTTGGAGTGTTTTTGTCTTAGAGAGGATAGCATTGCCTACTTCATACCTTTCTGTACTTATGTTTGTGATCTCTTGTTGCATTTAATGTGCTAGAATTTATGTACGGGAGCTATATCTTTTCACTTGGGAGTATTGCTCAAGAGGTTTTACTGTTATATTAGTGGATTGATCATGTAGTTATTTATATATTCCGTATTCCTCGGTGTTTCTGATCTCACAAGGATTCAATGCTAAATTTGTGTGTATCTTCCAAATTTTGTTGGGGCCAGCCTTGTAAGTTGGCGTTGTAAAGTTGCAGAGGATATTGAACAAGACAGAGTGGTTAGCAGAAGCCTTTAGCAAAAAAATGTGCAGGAGGAATGTTAGTTTAGTTCAACTCAAAGACAATAACACTTTGCTCTCTGTTGCTTCAAATTGAAAACAGAGCTAGTTTGTTGATGTCAAAATGGTGGTGCGGATCTTCATTAGGTAGGAAGAACGTTGATGAATAGGAAAAGAGTAGAATGCAAGTGACGATGGTGGAAAGGATTTAAGTAATCAACGATAGATATGGTATCAGTATACATTTTCAGAATAGGAGATTCAATGACCCATTCCTAACTTTGAATAGTACTCGGGATAGGAGATTCAATGATCAGTTCCTGACTAAATCCTACGTGCTATAAATTAAGTTTCATTTACAGAAGTTCTTGTAGGTTGTTGGAAAATTTTTGAAGAGAGTGGTGTGCCTTGTGTTATGGTACCCAACAAGGAAGCTTATATTGGGAATCATGCTCTGTGGTTAGGGGCGCATTTACCGGCTCCAATTTCAATTACTCCTTTCTATCACGGATGACACAAGTATTATGAGGCTTGAACGCGTTTCGCACTTGCGTGGATAAATTTATCGTGAATAAATGTATTTTGAGTACGAAATTGTGCTACATGATTCTTTTTAAATTGGTAGTGATATAATCTAATTGATGATATGTATTTGTGGGAAAAAAATGAAGAAATAATCGATTTATGTTGTTTTGGTTATACATACAAATATTATTGCATTATTAGTAAATAAATGAATAGAGTTCTGATTAAAAAATAATCACGAGAAAGTGATAATATTTTATTGGGTAAGAACACTGTAGAACAAGAATTTTCTGAATGTGTAGCTTTGTCGTTATGGTGTTCGTCGCGTTAGCTACAAGAGCCGGCATTCTATCGTAGTTAGACTTTCTACACTAAAACCTCCATAAATTAATCTTTTATTAATTAATAATCTCTATTAAATAATATTTTTCTCTGGTCCCAACTCAGAACCAGTATAAAAAATAAAAAAATTCGATTAATTTATAAGATTATATCTTTTTCAAGAATCTCCTATGTAAGGTCCTCACAATTTCATAAATTAATAAATACGTAAAATAATTTATTTGATTTGAAAATTAACTTGGATTTTAACTTAAGTATTTTTGTTTACGTTTACAATTATCATGTTTTTGTTTCTTTAAAAAAATTATAATGTCATGGTTCGGGGTGTAAGACTTTTATTGATATAAAAATAATAAAATTTTTGTATTTTCTTATTTATTGGATTAAAAAAACTCTTTAAATTAATAAAATATTAATTTATTAATAAATTAATAATTAGTAATTTATCGATGAATTAATAAATTTTTAGAGGTCCAAGTGCATTATTAATTTATAGGATTTTACTTTATTCCCCTACATGATGCTACTCGTAATGCAGCGGCCAGCAATGTCATCACAAATTGCAGATTATTTATTTATTTTTTGAAATTCATCATTCATTTACTAAAAATAAATGGGGTGGGACTCCCACCAGTAAAATTTGTGTACCTAAACTTTAACCAAAGACTATAGAACTGCAGATTCTAGTACTTTTGATTATATATATATATATATATATATATATATATATATATATAGGGAGTGGCTAGAGTCCAGTCGATTAAACAGTTTAATCGTTAATTAATACCGCAGGATCAATTAAAACAACTGGTCACCGTTGGATTAAACGTAGGGCATATTGTAAGGAAATATACCCTATTGCACTTAGATCATTCATTTAGTCAATCAAAATTTTAAATTAAAAAATGAATTATTTTTATAAAAATTATCTTTATTTTCCTTTTTCCATATGCACCTCCATTACCTTTAATAAGTCCGCCTGCCGCATTGACGCACCATCACTCCCCTGTACTATTCGCCACCTCCATTCAAAACTTTTTTTTCATTGTTTTTTGAATTCAGATATTCGAAACAGATTAACCAAAAAATCCAAGAAAGAATCAAATTCAATAATCCAACACCTAATTCTTCTCTTTCCGTATTTGTTGCAATGCTGAATATTAGCGGCAAAGGAAAGCATCTGAAGATTTGTATTAGAGTTTGGTTCTGAATTTGTATTAGAATTCTTGCTGGCCATTATCTGTGTAAGCTTGTTTTAACAGGATCAAAGCTTTCACTAGCGACTACTGCTGGAAGCCTGGAATAAAAGTTTTTTAATTGTTTTAGTTTCAATGCTTTCAAAGTATTAGTATTACATCACAAGTTGAAATGGATTGAGTGTTTGAAGATTGTTGATGATGGTGATGATGATCTCTGTGCTGATTATAATCATGCTCCTCAAGAAGTTATGCACCAAATCTCAAGTATTTTCGTACCGTGAGCAATGATTATGGCGTATTACAAATCCTGGATGTGGCCGCTTGTAAGAATTTGAAGATTCTTGAATTGGATTCTTTATGTGTAAAAAGATGATGAGTTTCTTAATTCAATTGAACAAACCTTGAAGCATTCTCTCTGCACTTGTTTACATGGTCTTACTGTTATGAGAGGTTAAAAGCAACAGTCTTAGAGATTCGTGGCTAGGATTTATTGACAATCATAAGCTTGTCACGGATCATGATTTTGGTTGTTAGGCTAGTTTTAAATTCTTTGTCTAAAAAAAAGAATTCAATTCTGATCAAATAGGAACATGCAACTCTGAATTCCATATCAATATAATAACTATTGAGATGGGACTTTTCACGGTCCCAAGCTGAAGAGCCTTTGAGACAAGCTTGTTCAAATTAATGAAATTAGAAAAATGGATTCTAATTTTATTGAGATAATTTGATTTTATGTAAGTAATTTTTAAAAAATTTACTACATGAATAATCCAATTAGCAGGGAATAACTATTGTGAATGCGTTCCAATGTTTCTCATGTATCATTATAGTTCATCAATTTTGATTAGTTAAATTTCAACTGAACGGTTCAGTTAAATTAGAACGACTGGACTCTAGAATTTTCCATATATATATATATATTAAAGGAGAGTTTTTAATCGGGCACATGATGCAAAATTAGATAGGCTAATCCACGTGACGAAAAATTAAAGAGTCAAGTCCACATGTCGCAACCCCATCACTTCATCATTTAATGGTAATTTTTTAATGTAAAATTATAAATTTATAGAGAAAATTAAATTAACTAAGAAATTACTCTTTAATGGTAAATTTTATTAGAAAAATGGAGGGGACCAAAAAAAAAAAAAAATTGCCCCTTAAAAAGAATATCGCGTGCATTGCCCTAAATATATTCTTTGCGTTGTAAATGCTCTTGATGACCGTACGACCAGGTTTGTGTTTTATCATCTTGCCAACAATTGATTCACGTAGTATAAAAAAAGAGATGGTCAACCGTGCGATTTGTTCCATACAACTCTGAGGGTGGCAGATCTCCAACTTCTAGAGAACACATGAAAAGTTCTTGCCTTGCAAAAGTGCGTACAACATTAATTTCAAGCCTAGAACAGACATGAGGCATTGTGAGCATTGGGATGGTCTTTAATTCGGTGACAAACGCGATTTCAAGTTTGTCACCTCCTATATTTAGCTTCGAATGATTAAAAGTGATATTTAGAGGGATGAACTTTGTTTGCTAATAAAGAACAAAGGGAGACTCGGAGAAAGTTTCTGATGAGCGGTGTTGGTCTTGGTGATCATTAGCTGTTTTTATTTTATTGCACAACTTCGTTTAGAGTACTTGAAATGATGGAATTACAAAATTTGGATTCTCAATAAGTTGAGAAAGTTGCTTTCTTGTGCAACTCGATGGTAATCTCGCAAGAAATTGGACCAATAACGGCTTGGAGATTGATTCTCCTTAGGCTACAGATACGTTATTAGCATTTAGCGTCTCCATTACACTACTAACTAAGTCCGAAAGGGACCTACCCGATTCGAATCCGAATTAATCAAATCAATGACTTGGACACCGAGTGTAACAAAAAATAATTAAAAAAACACTCATAAAAAAATCCAAGCATATTGAGAAAAAAAAATGCATAATAGTAATAAATCCGAAAACAATTAACTAAAATAAAAAATTTAAAAATCAATTTGATGTAAAAATTTAAAAAAAACGATTGCCATGATGAGAGAAACTAATTCATTGATCAACATTGATTTCTATAGTTATTTGTTAAAGTGTAACCAATATATGATATTGTTAATTACGTTTATGATATGTACAAAAAGGTGGAAACTATACAACCAAGAAAAAAAATGATGTAAACACTACATTATAGGAAAAATATAAGAACAAAGTTCTAAAGAAATATTACAAAAAGTATACAAAGAGATAGAAAATAAAGATAAATTTATGAAAATAAATAATGAGAAAACTTTCTGTTAGTGGGAGAGTTTAAGAGATATGAAACGAATAGAAATATTTAGAGAGATCACTATGAAAAATTGAGAGAATATTTTTAAACGATATAAAAACCATAAATTAACAAAAAAAAAAGAACAATAAGTTACATTGGCTGATTTCAAAAATTAAAAATTAATTCAAATGTAGTGAAAATAATAAAGCATATTCACATTAAAAATTACAGAATTGTAATTTATATCATTAAATATATATACATATATTTATATATATCACTCCATCGATAATATCTGATAATCGTTAAATCATTAAACTCATATATATCTTAAACAACCCACACAACGTGTGGGACAAACGATAGTATATATTAAAGGGAGTTTTTAATCAGACATATGGCGTAATATTAGATAGGCTAACCAACATGGCAAAAAATTAGATAGCCAAGTCCACATGTCGCGTTTACATTACTCCATCATTTAACGGTAACTTTTATTTGTAAATCC